CTAAGCTCCAATAATGTAATACATTTGGGATGATTTACAAAAAAGTGCAAAATCTAGGGCAGCTCTGCATAGAAACAACCAACAGGCTCCATGTGCACTGGACCCCCCCCCCCACCCACACACACGATTCAACAGGAGTTTAGCGTTTTGGCTCTAGAAGCAGCTTAATGTAATTTTATGTGTACATATACAGTGCATCCAGAAAGTATTCACAGCGCTTAACTTTTGCCAAATTTGTTATGTTACAGCCTTATTCCAAAATGGATTAAATTCATTTTTTTTTTTTCCCTCAAAATTCTACAAACACCCCATAATGACTCACTCACTGCCCTTGAGATTGCCAATCACTTCAAAAACAAGATTGACACAATTCGCAAGGACATTGCCGCAACTCACACGCCTTCTCAACCCGTCCCCTCTCACACAGCTACCCCCCCTCATCCCCCCTCCCCCTCGACATAACCCACAGGGACTTCATCGCTGCTCAAACTCCCTCCAACCCCCTTCACCCCTCACTCAGCTACCCCCTCTACACCCCTCTCTCCCACGGCCCCACCACTGCTCTGACCTCCTCTCCCACCCCACCCTACATTCCTCATACTGAAGCTCCCCCAACACTCCGCACTATTGACCTTACTACCATCGAAGAAGTCTCCAAGATCCTCTCTGATGCCCGCCTCACCACCTGCCCCCTCGACCCTATCCCCTCACAACTCCTACAACCTCCCTCCCCCTCCATCCTACGCTCCCTCACCCACATCTTCAAACTACACTCCCTCGGCCTCAGATTCTGCTCTCTCCTGGCTCTCATCCTACCTGTCACAACGCTCTTTCAGCGTTACCTATAATGCCACCACCTCCCTCTCACTCCCCCTCTCTGTTGGGGTCCCTCAAGGCTCTGTCCTCGGGCCCCTTCTCTTCTCCATCTACACCTCCTCCCTTGGCCAACTCATACACTCTCACGGCTTCAACTACCACCTCTATGCCGACGACACACAAATCTATCTCTCAACCCCCCACCTCACCCCCTCGGTCTCCGCCCGAAATCACACACCTGTTGAGCGACATATCAGACTGGATGTCGCTCCACTTCCTTAAATTGAACCTCTCCAAAACCAAGTTTCTTGTCTTCCCTCCAGCCCGGACACCACCCCCCATTGACTTCTCCATCATGTCCAACAACGCCACCATCAAACCCGCCCCGCAGGCCAGAGTACTTGGTGTCATTTTGGACTCCAACCTATCCTTCCAGCCCCAAGTCCACTCTTTAACAAACTCGTGCAGACTCCACCTCCGCAACATCGCCAAAATCCGCACGTTCCTAACCCCAGAAACCACTAAACAGCTCATCCACTCCCTCATCATATCACGACTCGACTACTGCAACTCCCTCCTCACTGGCCTGCCTCGCCGCTGGCTATCCCCGCTTCAGTCCATCCTGAATACGGCTGCATGACTCATTCACCTTTCCAACCGCTCCGTTTCCGCCACACCCCCCTCTGCCAATCCCTCCACTGGCTTCAGATTGCGCAACGGATCAAATTCAAAATCCTAACGCTGACGTACAAAGCTGTCCACCATACTGCCCCGAACTACATCACTGACCTAATATCCAAGTACCACCCAGAACGCACACTCCGCTCCTCACAAGACCTCCTTCTCTCTAGTTCCCTGGTCTCCTCCTCCCATGCCCGCCTCCAGGACTTCTCCAGGGTGTCACCCATCCTCTGGAACTCCCTGCCCCAACCTATCAGATTATCACCTACTCTCCTCTCCTTTAGGCGCACCCTGAAAACCCATCTCTTCAGGGAAGCCTACCCCGCCCCCTGCTAACTTGCCGACCTCCTCCACTCTTCCTACCACTCCATCCCCCACAGCTATCTCCTCCTGTGCCACCATCCCCTCCCTCCTAGATTGTAAGCTAGAAAGAGCAGGGCCCTCAATCCCCTCATGTTTTGCATTGTATTGGTATTGTTCTGTCAGATGTTCTGTCCCCCTTTGTAATGTACAGCGCTGTGCGAACTATTGGCGCTTTATAAATACTGTATTATAATAATAATAATAATAATAATAATAATAATGACAACGTGAAAGAAGTTAATTTTGAAATCTTTGCAATTTATTAAAAAAAAAAAACCCCACATGTACATAAGTATTCACAGCCTTTGCGCAATACTTTGTTGAAGCCCCGTTAGGACCAATTACAAGTCATTTTGAGTATGATGCTTCAAGCTTGGCACACATTTTTGGGCAATTTCTCCAATTCTTCTTTGCAGTACCTCTCAAGTTCCATCGGGATGGATTGGGAGCGTCGGTGCACAGCCATTTTCAGATCTTTCCAGAGATGTTCAATCCAGTTCAAGTCTGGGCTCTGGCTGGGCCACTCCAGGACATTCAGAGTTGGCCCGTAGCCACTCCTTTGTTATGTGGGCTGTGGGCTTAGGGTCGTGGTCCTGTTGAAAGATGAACCGTTGCCCCAGCGTGCTATGGAACAAGTTTTCAACAAGGATGTCTCTGCAGCAATGTACATTCATCTTTCCTTCGATCCTGACTAGTCTCCCAGTTCCTGCCACTAAAAAACACCCCCACAGCATGATGCTGCCACCACCATGCTTCACTGTAGGGATGGTATTGGCCAGTTGGTGCGCTGTGCTTGGATTCCTCCAGACATGATGCTTGGCATTCAGGCCAGAGTTCAATCTTTGTTTCATCAGAGAGTTTTGTTTCTCATGGTCTGAGAGTCCCTCAGGTGCCTTTCGGCAAACTCCAGGCAGGCTACCATTTGCCTTTTATTGAGGAGTGGCTTCTGTCTTGCCACTCTACCACACAGGCCTGATTGGTGGAGTGCTGCAGAGATGGTTGTTCTTCTGGAAGGTTCTCCTCTCTCCACAGAGAAACGCTGGAGCTCTTTCAGAGTGACCATCGGGTGCTTGGTTACCTCCCTGGCTAAGGCCCTTCTCCCTCGATCGCTCATACTGGTCAGGCGGCCTGCTCTAGGAAGATTCCGGTTGTTCCAAACTTCTTCCATTTATGGATGATGGAGGCCATTGTGCTCATTGGGACTTTCAATGCTGCAGAAATTTTTCTGTACCCTTCCCCAGATCAGTGCCTTGATACAATCCTGTCTCGGAGGTCTACGGACAATTCCTTGGACTTCAAGGCTTGGTTTGTGCTCTGACATGCACTGTTAACTGTGGGACCTTATATAGACAGGTTTATGCCTTTCCTAATCATGTCCAATCAACTGAATTTCCCACAGGTGGACTCCAATCAAGCTGTGGAAACCTCAAGGATGATCAGTGGGAACAGGATGCACCAGAACTCAATTTTGAATGTCATGGCAAAGGCTGTGAATACTTATGTACGTGTTTTTTTTTTCCCCCTTTTATTAATAAATTGCAAAGATTTCAAAATGAACTATCACAATGTCATTATGGGGTATTGTTTGCAGAATGTTGAGGGAAAAATGTAATTAATCCATTTTGGAATAAGGCTGTAACATAAAATGTGGCAAAAGTTAAGTGCTGTGAATACTACATTCTGGATGAACTGTACATTAGGACTATTAGAGGCATATTTTAAGCTCAACATTTAGAGGCAGGAAAAGAAAAAAACTCTTGGTTTGCATTTTTGATTGGAACTTTCTGGAAGGGGAAAAACAAAAAAAACTAAATGGGAAAAAAAAAAAAAAAAAAAGTACAGTGTGCAAGGAGCCTTAAAAATTAATTGAAGAAGCTGATTGGCTATCATTCACAGCTGCACCAGATTTTGCATCAGTTTTAGTAAATCAACCCCATAAAGTCTAACATTAGACCTCTCTTCACACACAAATCTCTCTTCATGTGAGGGTGAGCAAATGCACTTAGAAACAATAAAGAGTCACCATTCGATCTGTATGTCAGGGCTCTAGCAGGCAGCACTAAGCAAACAAAATGCTGCATTAAAAAACATGGTACCTGCTTGACAGCCTGTGTCAACCATTAGAAAACACCCTTACTTTACTCTGAAGAGCACACAGAGCTGCTTTTACTAAACTGGTCTAAAGAGGCTGTGCAGGGTGATCTGCTAAATTTTTCCTATGTGGCACAGCTCCTGTGTCGAGGACGGTTTTAAAGGGGATTCTGTGGACAAAGCTGAGGCATAGCACACTCAACAGTTTCAGTCTAGAAACCGCAGCTTGTCAGGGGTAGGTAGTATAAGGTTTGAACTCGGAACAGGAGGGATTTTGCCTATTTAAAGTGGATATCCCCTTTACATATCCCACAGACATGTGTTAGAATGATGCATGCATTACTGGACGTGTGATTAGTAGAATAATTAACAATGATGAACATGATGAATATGACAGGTTAATGAATGGAGCAAGATTTTCTTCAAGATATGAAAATAGTTTGATACATTTTACACGATAACAGGTTACACCATTTACTATGCCTCATGACACCCCACATTCCCCAGGGAGTTTATAGAAAGAAAAAAAAAAAAAAAAAACACAAAACCCAAACACATTGTAAGAACAAAGGAGTTACCACTCAGGCAAACAATCCACATCAAACCAACGCAGGTGCAGACCCTGGCTCGCCACCACACAAAATGCAAAGGAAGAAGAGTTGGCCGCACACTGGAGGAATGATGAAATGTAGCAATAGATTTGTTGATCCATAAAATCCATAAAATACAAATAGCACCAGGACATATGCAGAGCTGCTAACGCGTTTCACATGATCACTTGCCTAATCATAAACAAGGATTATAATTAAGCACGTGATCGCGTGAAACGCGTTAGCAGCTCTGCATATGTCCTGGTGCTTTTTGTATTTTATGAATCAACAAATTTATTGCTACATTTCATCATTTCTCCGGTGTGCAGCCAACTCTTCTTCCTTTACACACACACTGTACACATACACTATATTGCCAAAATTATTGGGACACCACACCAAATCATTGGATTCAGATGTTCCAATCACCTCTATGGCCGCAGATGTATAAACAAGCACCTAGGCATGCAGACTGCTTCTACAAACAAACATTTGTGAAAGAATGGGTCGCTCTCAGGAGCTCAGTGAATTCCAGCATGGTACCACGATAGGTTGCCACCTGTGCAAAAAGGCCATCCGTGACATTTCCTTGCTACTAAATATTCCACGGTCAACTGTTAGTGGTATTATAACAAAGTGGAAGCAACTGGGAACAGCAGCAACTCAGCCATGAACTGGTAGGCCATGTAAAATGACAGAGTGGAGTCAGCGCATGCTGAAGTGCACAGCACGCAGAAGTCCCCAACTGTCTGCAGAGTCAATAGCTAAAGGCCTACAAAAACTTCATGTGGCCTTCAGATTAGCACAACAGTGCATAGAGAGCTTCATGGAATGAGTTTCCATGGCCGAGCAGCTGCATACAAGCCTTACATCACCATTGGATGAAGTGGTGTAAAGCACACCACCACTGGACTCTATAGCAGGGGTCTCCAAACAAAGGACCAGTTTACTGTCCTTCAGACTTCAGAGGGGCCAGACTGCGGCCATTGAAGTAGAAAATGTCTGACATCAACGGGGGTAAACAATGCCCCATCTTTGATGTCTGAGAAATTGAGCCCCTTTTTGGTGTCCTTGGGGGGGGGGGGGAGAATTATGCCCATCATTGGTATAAATTGGGAGGAACTGTGCCCCATTATTGGTGTCATTGGGGAGGAACTGTGCCCCCATCATTGGTTTCAGTGAACGAAATTACAGTGAAGGAAATAAGTATTTGATCCCCTGCTGATTTTGAATGTTTGCCCACTCACAAAGAAATGATCAGTCTAAAAATCGAATGGTAGGTGTATTGTGACACTGAGAGACAGAATAGCAACAACAAATTCAAAAGAAATGCATGTCTAACAAATTATGCACTGATTTGCATGTTCATGAGGGAAATAAGTATTTGATCCCCTTCACAAAACATGACTTGGTACTTGGTGGCAAATCCCTTGTTGGCAATCACAGAGGTCAGACGTTTCCTGTAGTTGGCCACCAGATTTACAAACATCTCTGGAGGGATTTTGGCCACTCCTCTTGGCAGATCCTCTCCAAGTCATTAAGGTTTGGTGGCTGACGTTTGAAAATTGAGGAGGAAACTGAAAGCTCAAGTTGCCAACCAGATTAAGGTCTGGAGACTGGCTAGGCCACTCCAGGACCTTAATATGCTTCTTCTTGAGCCACTCCTTTGTTGCCTTGGCAGTGTGTGTTTTGTGTCATGGTCATGCTGGAACACCCATCCACAACCCATTTTCAATGTCCTGGCTGAGGGAAGAAGGTTCTCACCCAAGATTTGACGGCACATTGCCCCGTCCATCATCCCTTTGATGCGGTGCAGTTGTCCTGTCCCCTTCGCAGAAAAACACCCCAAAGCAGAATGTTTCCACCACCATGTTTGACAGTTGGGATGGTGTTTCTTGGGCTCATAGGCAGCATTCCTCCTCCTCCAAACATGACGTGTTGAATTGATGCCAAAGAGCTCGATTTTGGTCTCATCTGATCACAACACTTTCAACCAGTCCTCCTCTGCATCATTCAGATGTTCAGTGGCAAACTTCAGACGGGCCTGGACATGTGCTTTCTTGAGCAGAGGGACCTTGCGGACATTGCAGGATCTCAATCCTTGTCGGCGTAGTGTGTTACCAACTGTTTTCTTGGTGACTGTGGTCCCAGCTGCCTGGAGATCATTGACAAGATCCTCACGTGTAGTTGTGGGAGGATTCCTCACTGTTCTCATGATCACTGACATGCCACGAGGCGAGATTTTGCATGGTGCACCAGACCTAGGGAGACTGACAGTTGTTTTGTGTTTCTTCCATTTGCGAATGATTGCACCAACTGTTGTCACCTTCTCACCAAGCTGCTTGGCGATAGTTTGGTAGCCCAGTCCAGCCTTGTGTAGGTCTACAATCTTGTCCCCGACATCCTTGGACAGCTCTTTGGTCTTTGCCATGCTGGAGAGTTTGGAATCTGATTGTTTGATTGCTCCTGTGGACAGATGTCTTTTATACAGGTAACAAAATGAGATTAGCAGCACTCCCTTTACTGCTTCTAATCTCAGCTTGTTACCTGTATGAAAGACACCTGGTAGCCAAAAATCCCACTGAATGATAGGGGATCAAATACTTATTTCCCTCATGAACAAGCAAATAAGTGCATCATTTGTTAGACATGAATTCCTTTGGAATTTTTTGTTGCTACTCTGTCTTAGTGTTACAATACACCTACCATTCAATTTTTAGACTGATAATTTCTTTGTGAGTGGGCAAACATTTAAAATCAGCAGGGGATCAAATACTCATTTCCTTCACTGTATGCCCCATTGTTTGTGTCTGAGGATGAAATATTGCCCCAAGGGCCAGATAAAAGCAAGCAAAAGGCCACATCCAGCCCCCCGGGCCACAGTTTGGAGACCACTGCTCTATAGCAATGGAGACGTGTTGTTTGGAGTGATCAATCACACTTGTCTGTCTGGCAATCCGACAGACGTGTTTGCATTTGGCGGTTGCCAGGAGAATGGTACTTGCCGGACTGCATTGTGCCAAGTGTAAAGTTTGGTGGAGGGGGGATTATCGTGTGAGGTTATTATTCAGGCGTTGGGCTTGGCCCCTCAATTCCAATGAAGGGAACTCTTAAGGCCATCAGCATACCAACACATTATGGACAATTTAACGTCCAACTTTGTGGGAACAGTTGGGGATGGCCCCGTCCGGTTCCAACATGACTGCGCACCAGTGCACAAAGCAAGGTCTATAAAGACATGGATGAGCAAGTTTGGGGTGGAGAAACTTGATTGGCCTGCACAATGTCCTGACCTCAACCTGACAGAACACCTTTGGGATGAATTAGAACGGAGACTGTGAACCAGGCATTCTCATCGGACATCAGTGCCTGACCTCACAAATGCGTTTCTGGAAGAAGATGGTCAAACATTCCCATAGACACACACCTAAACCTTGTGGACAGCCTTCCCACAAGAGTTGAGGCTGTTATATGCTCCCCCCTATTGTACAGCGCTGAGCAAACCCTTTGGCGCTATATAAACTCGTAGTAATAATAATAATAATTATATCTGCAAAGGGTGGGCCAACTCAATATTGAACCCTACAGACTAAGACTGGGATGCTATTAATGTTCATGTGCGTGTAAAGGCAGGTGTCCCAATACTTTTGGCAATATAGTGTATGTCAAATCAGAATTTTTCCACAAAAAAAAAAGTTAAAAAAAAAAGTTAAAAAAAAAAAAAAACACATGACAAACTGATTTCACTCACCTGATAAAATTTAAAATATTAAAATAAAACCACACTTTGCTCCTTCAGCTTCTGGCCCATTACAGGGTATCCGGACTACATTAAAAGACAATTTCTTCAGACCTGTATTCTGTAAAAAAAAAATAAAGTAAATAAATATGAAAAAACCATGATGCAAATATTTAAAAAAAAAGAAAAAAGAAAAAAGGAGGACAGACCTCGTTCACAAGGTTTTTTTCAAATCGCGGGCGAAATCAGCACAATTCGAAAAAGCGTGGTAAAAAGGTGAAACCATGCAATTGCGTTTTCAGGTGTCATTCAAATGAATGGCACCTGGAAACGCAGGGTGTTTTTTTCTACAATCGCTCAAAATTGCGGGGCGCACGATGGCCAAAAGAGGTTCCACGTGGCAAAACATGCCAGAATCATGGCAAAAACACCCTGCGTTTCAAGGTGCAATTCAAATGAATGGCACCTGAAAAACGCGATCAAGCATTCACACACTTTTACAGCTCTTTTTCAAATGACGATTCTGCCCACAATTTGATAAAACTTAGTGTGAATGAAGCCTAAAGCCATCAAAAACTTGAAAAGTGCTGAATGGATGCTAGGAACTTCCTGGACTCCAAACAGCAAAGTCCCTGAAGTAGATCGCTTTATTCTGCAAATTCATACATTCCTCCCACTTATTCCATATAGTCGACAAACATCTACATATCCAACAATAGAACATGGAGTGCGCCAAGTGAACTAGCACAGGTCAGATCCAATCAAACTGATACATCAAGATAATCTGTAGATCCAGATATAGTAGTACTGAGCATATATGTCCACTGTTCCTGTAAAGTCCAGCTTGGCCGTAACCCACCCCCTCCCTGCCTGCCTTCTAAGCCTCTCCATTCCATAGAATCTATGCGAGTAAGCTGCTGCTCCTTCACAACCCAATCAAGCTGTGGACATCTCATTGTTGAAGGTTTATGGAACAAGTGCAGTAAAGAAATGCAAGGCTTATTTGGACGTGCTGTCTGGCAGGTAAGCCTGGGTCACAAGACTAGCTGAACAGAACTATACTTGCTTTGGCAGTTAAGATTTCTGTTGATGTATTGATTAAAAGTTTGCTTGGGGGTCAGCTTTAAAGTGTAATTCCATTTTTACAACTGGGGTCACTTCTACTTTTATTATGCTATATGAAAGGGAACATGTAAAACATGGATTTAAAAATTCCTGCTTATATTTTATTTGCGCTCTTCTGAAAACTGCAGAACTGAAGTTTTCACTTCTATGTAATGTTAAAGCTGAAAAGAGGCACCAGGTTCTTTATGGAATAGTGTGAAAGTATGCACAGCAGATTTGCCTGGCAAGCGATACTCTCCAGCGCTGCAGTGTCAGCACTCCTATTTGTCAAGGGGGCTCCCATTTTCTCCCAGTGTTCATTCCAGGTTTGTATTCTTTGGCTGCAGGATTGATATCCCTCACTCACATGTACACAGGAGTCACATTGTCCCAACAGAGTTGTGCTGTAAACGTATGAAGAGCTGCTCATGCACAGCTCAGTGTACACAAATGCAGAGCTGATTCACACGTGTGGTGCAGATTGAAGCTCAGGTTTGATAGCTCATTGATACAATAGTTCACAGGTCCATGTCAGGTTTAGCTCAGGATCTTATGTTCACACATGTGTTTTCAAAACTGTTCCCATAGACGTTAATAGCCTGTAATCCACACTTGAACTGGACCACACTGCTCAGGAATCGGGAAAGACTCTTTAAAAAACACAATGAATCCACACCACCATTGCACTAGACATATGCAAACAGGCACCATAGGAAGCAATTTTTTTTCCATGCGGACTGGATGCGGTTCAATATCCAATCTTCATATATGTGAATGGGCAATCAAGGGGGTACTGGGCAGTTTGTTTACCATAACTTACAGTCTGAACTCTGCTGGCAGAACAGATTAACCACTTTCCCTCAGCCCTATAGCAGAAATACTGCTACAACCATGCACAAAATCATGTATACACACGCGCGCGCGCGCAATTTGCATTTCTGGGTAGGGGGCACACATGCTGCCCTACCCACACCGCTACTGGCGGCTGGGGATGTCAATCACCAGGTCCTGGCCAGTGGATTCCCAGCTGCCAATCTGATCATCAGATAAAGCTGACAGGGGAGAGACCTGTGTGTAAACAGAGACATGCTGTTTTGTATCTCTGCCCCAGATATTAACCCCCTTCCTGTCCGGTGTCACTAGTACAGTGTCAGTGCTTTTTATTAGCACTGATCACTATTAGTATCACTGGGGATGTTAGTGGCAGTTAGTCAGCTCTCTCCCAGTGTCCAAATGCCTGCCGCAGTCCCACTATAAGCCGCTGATCGCCACCATTACTAGTACAAAATATCTCAGTATATATACTGCCATTTGTAAAAGCTATAACTTCCACCTAAACCAATTCATTTACACGTATTGTGATTTTGTTTATTTTTTTTAGCAAAGACATGTAGCAGAAAACATCCTACCCTAAATTTATGAAATTTGATTTAAAATTTTTTTATTGGATAGGTTTTATAGCAAAGAGTCAAAAATATTGTTTTTCTTTCGAAATTGTCTTTTTTTTATAGCACTAAAAAAAAAAAAAAAAAAAAGAAAAAAAAAAAAAAAACCCACAGAGGTGATCAAATAACTCCGAAAGAAAGCTCTATTTGTGGGGAACGAAATTAAAAAATGTCATTTATGTACAGCGTTGCATGACCGTGCAATTGTCAGGTAAAGTAATGCAGCATTGTACCGCAAAAAATGGCCCGGTCAGGAAAGGGGGGGGGGGGGTTGGGGGTAAATCCTCTGGGGGACAAGTGGTACCGACACAAAGTGGCACATAATTGTGAAGTGGAAGGAAAATAAACATGGTTTTCAACATTTTTTTTTTTTACAAATAAACATGAAAAGTGTGGTGTGCATTTGTATTCAGCCCCCCCTGGAGTTATTACTTTGTAGAAACATCTTTCGCTGCAATTACAGCAGCAAGTCTTTTTGGGGATGTCTCTACCAGCTTTGCACATTTAGAGAGGGACATTTTTGCCCATTCTTTGCAAAATAGCTCAGGCTCTGTCAGATTGGATGGAGAGCGTCTGAACAGCAATTTGTAAGTCTTAATTCTTAATTGGATTTAGGTCTGGACTGTGACTGGGCCATTCTAACACATGAATATGATTTGATCTAAACTATTCCATTGTAGCTCTGGTTGTATGTTTAGGGTCATTGTCCTGCTGGAAGGTGAACCTCCGCCCCACTCTCAAGTCTTTTGTTGACTAACAGGTTTTCTTCTATTACCCTATATTTGGCTCCATCCATCTTCCCATTAACTCTGACCAGCTTCCCTGTCCCTGCTGAAGAAAAGCATCCCCACAGCATGATGCTGCCACCACCATGTTTCACAATGGGGGATGGTGTGTTTCAGGGTGAAGTGCAGTGTTAGTTTTCTGCCACACATAGCGTTTTGCTTTTAGGCCAAAAAGTAAAAATGTTGGTCTCATCTGACCACAGCACTTTCTTCCAATTGTTTGCTGTGTACCCACATGGCTTCTTGCAAACTGCAAATGGGATTTCTTATGGCTTTCTTCTTGCCAGTCTTCCATAAAGTCCAGGTTTGTGGAGTGCACGACTAATAGTTGTCCTGTGGACACATTCTCCCACCTGAACTGTGGATCTCAGCAGCTCCTCGAGTTACCATGGGTCTCTTAGCTTCTTCTCTGATAAATGTTCTCCTTGCCCGGCCTATCAATTTAGGTGGACTGTTTTCAGTTGTGCCATACCCTTTCCATTTTTGGATGATGGATTTAACATTGCTCTGTGAGATCTTTTAAGCTTTGGATTTTTTTTTTTTTTTTTTTTTTATAACCTAACCCTGCTTTAAAACTTCTGCACAACTTTATCCCTGACCTGTCTGGTGTGTTCCTTGGCCTTCATGACGCTGTCCACTAATGTTCTCTAACAAACCTCTGAGGGCTTCACAGAACAGCTGTACTTATACTAAAATTAAATTTACTAATTAGGTGACTTCTAAAGGCAATTGGTTCCACTAGAATTTGGTATCAGAGTAAAAGGGGGCCGAATACAAATGTACACTACACTTTTCAGATGTGTATTTGTAAAACATTTTGAAAACCATTTATCATTTTCCTTCCACGTCACCATTATGTGTTGATCTATCAAAGTGGTCTCCAAATTGCAGCCCTTTGCTTGCCTTTATCCAGCCCTTGGGGCCTCCTACTGATACAAGACATTATTCCTCCCATT